TTCCTGCTATCAGGCAGTTTAAAGGACACCATAATTATGATGGTGATAAAACAATGCCTGCTTATGTGTGCTGAATAAATAAAGAATGTTTACAGCTCAAGAATCTTTTAATTCCAATTAAATGCTATCAAAGAAAAGCCACTTTTCCTACTGCAACTGCCTTTCCCCCCAATTATCTTGTTTTGTTGCAATATTTTCCTATGAGACATAAGGGCCTTTCACAATTGATCTTGAATGTAGAAGAAAAAAAAATCAGGGAAAGTAGAGTTCAATCTCCATGTATTAAATAATACACAAATATCAAGAGCCACAATTTATTTGGGTTGCCCACGTTTTTGTTTATTTCACACAAGGGTCAAATGTGAAGAAACTGAAGTGATGACACTAAGTCCTGAGGCCTACCTATAGGGTGCTGCAGCCATACTGAAATCCTGAGCACCCATGAGAGGAGAGAGGAAAGACAAGACATGAGGAGCCTGATGGTCTCTGGAACGGGAATCCTCTGGTTCTGTTCCCCTGGCTTCAGCCCAAATCCTTCTAGGAGCACTGGAGCCAATCACTGTCTTCTACTGCTGCAGCTACTGGGAACACACAAAAAAGCGGGAGATCAAAAAAATCACAAGCTAGAATTTATGGACACACAAGTATCACTTCATATTCACGACATCAGCAAATCACATCATAATCACATTTAAACAAGGTTTGGGGACTAATGCCCATCCAGCTGGGCACCAAACACTGACAGTATTACATACTAACCAGAAAATCTGCTTTTTGATTTTGGAATCATGGAGTGAAAATTAAGTCTTTTAACTTTGAAAATCTTACTTTTTGCTTGTGAGGCCAATTTTTACACTAATAAATTTCAAGTAAATGCCTCTTTTTAAGCTGTTCTAGAACATTTTAATTCAAACATCTATTTCTTGCTCTTCTCAGTTGTAGTGATATTTTGTTTGTGTTTAAAAAAAAAAACACATGGCACAACAAACGTTATGGAAAACGCACTCATTCCGTTAAATGCCGATACAAACCTGCCTTTTACTCCATCTGTCTAAGTAGCGCATTGCTAAGTATAAACTTAAAAAAATACTTTCCTTGAAGAAATACCTAATATTTATTGGCAAATACTATTTGGTGATGTGGTACAAAAATACAACGGTAAAAATTTTCAGGGTATTTGCAAGTTTTCTGGAGAGTTGCAGGCCCCTTTCCTTTTGAAAGTTTAGAGCTCCAATGCCCTCAATTCTACTGGCAGAATTAGGATGGACTTAGAGGGTCCTAAACGTGACCGATTCACTAAGGCGGGGGGCTACAGCTTGCAGCAACGTGCTCGGCAACTTAATCCTACGCTAAAAGAGGGCAGAGAACGAAAAAGAATGGAATACAAACTCTCCCAACATTCGTAGTTACTTTCAAGGTGGATTGTGTATTTTAAGGCTGATGGGAACGTCTGGTTTTTCGAGCAAAAAGAAGAGAAGGTAAGTGTTTGTCCTTGTATCCACCAGTTCATAGAGAAACAATGAAAGAACAAAGGGAACCACTTCTCCTTCTGAACATTTTCTGTATTTCCCTCCGTTTCCAGCCAAAAAGCTTGGAAGGGGATTCGCTTTACTCTACTTTAAGTAGTGGTTGCTAGGCTTGTTGAACTAAGAATGAAAAAAAAGTTGAGAGACAGTGTAAATATAGACTAAATAATAATAAAGGCTTGGTGTGGCAACTCTCCACCGCGCCAGTCGAAGCAACTTGCCGCAGAAGTTGTGCTAAATGCATACAGGCAAAGCCCAAGATATAAGCTTTGCATACCAGATTTCTAATTCAGTTAATTCAAATTTCTTTTCTTGCTGTTTGAAGGTGTTTCTGCCACAAAATTTGTAGGTATTGTCCGTGGAAAGAGAGCGATGTAGTATTTAGGTCGAAAAAATGATTTCTATTGCTATATGGAAGAGAATTTTTAAAAAGGAAAGGAGATTCAAGTGTTGATGCTACTGTTTGCTAATACAAGAGATGGCAGCAGTAACCGGGAGAGGAGAGGAATTTGGATTTAAATGTATTTGCTTTGGGGTACACTGGTTCTAGGCAAGTCTGCCTTTGTGGGGATGTGTGGCTCAATCAGGAACCGAGCGCCGTCGGCATTATATAAATGGATCGTTGTGGGGGGAGCCCACAAAGCCGTCCAGCACGTGAAACGCGGTCTTTTACTGCCCTCCAAGCGGCGACCAAGCCCCCCTCCACCCCACCCCACCTCAAAATCCGTATATTACCTGCCCTGTTACATGACACATGTTTATGTTTATAGTCCTGGTTTGTAGTAGTGTCAAGAGCCGCAGCAATAGGAGGGGGAGGAGAGAAGAGAGGGAGGAGTAAATGCTACCACCCCCACTTGTTGTTAAAGTAAATTTACTGCGTTATTGCAAGCCCTGTACGGGGGGCTGGGAAGAGAGTGGAGGGAAGGGTTGAGTTGGGATGTGTGGTGGCGGCGGAAGGGGGGTGGGGTTAGGAGATCCGCGATGGAGCTGCCCTAGCCAGCAGCCGGGAAAAGCAGCTCGGTCAACAGGGGAGCATGCTGGCGCGATCGAAAACAAAAAGGTTCCTCCTGCTCGCTGCGTTCACGTGGGGGGCTCTGCGCGCCGGGCTCCAGGGCTCTGACCTCTGACCCCGGCTCCTCTCCGCGCTCTCCCGGTGCCGCGCGGCCACTTTTTACCCAGGATCCCTCGCGCGGGCCGCGCTCGTGCCGAGCTCGAGTCCCTCCTAATCCTCCATTCCCCGCTTTCCATCCCCTCCCCCCGCGCCGCCAGCCCCGGGGGAGGATTCTCCGGCGGGGAACTCCCGCCCCGCCCCCACCGCGAGAGCCCAGGCGGAGGCGGCCGCGGCGGGGCCGGGAGGGGCGCGGAGTGCCGAGCCCAGCCTCCCCTGCTGCGTCGGGCCTGCGGGGGAGGGGAGGGCAGGGGAGCGAGGGGAGGGGACCCAGCGTCCACGCCGCCCTGCCGAGGCCCGGACCTGTTGACTGCTATTGGTCCGCCTTGTCCCGCGCCCTCTCCCTGCCCGCGGCAGCCCCAGCCCTTCCGCGCAGTAGTGGGGAGGAAATGGGGATGGCCGTTCTCCTCTCCGCCTCCCTCTAACTTTCTTTTTTCCTTGGGGGTGGGGGGATGAGAAAGCCAAGTCAACTCCACCGCTGCCCCATCCTTCCTCCCAAAGTATCGTCATGCGCCGACCCACCGCCCTTCCAGCCCCCACTATTTAAACCTCCTCCTCTCCACGGACCAGCTCCCGGGCCCTGAGCCCGCGGGTCCCCCGCCCGGCCCGGCGGCGTCCCCAGCGAATTGTGTTGCTTTTCTGCCCTGGAAGCTCCCTCGTCCTCGTTCCACTTTTTTTCCCGTCCCAGGAGGCGTAAGATAAAAACCTCTGATTTGCTGCGTGCTGCTGGACGCATTCTGTGTTCTCCTGTCAGAGGGCATTGGATGGAGAGTTTAAAATAACAGTTTTAAAAGAGGAAATAGAGAAGGGATAGTTTTTTTTTTTTTTTGGTCGGTTTTCGACGACAGACTTGCGTTAAGATGTATATTTTTAATGTAGAGTATCTTTAGGGTTAAAGGTTTTCTTGGATTAGCTGTATTTCCTTCTAGATTTGGGGTTTCCTGAAGAATTTTTTCCGGAGGGAAATAGTAAATCAACGTTAAGATAGAAGCAAGACTTCTCGGCCACTTTTGGAAAAAACGGGGGAAACTGTAAAAATACGTTCACAAAATAGCAGGAAGGAGGCCGCGGGGAAAGCAGGAGTGGCGCGAGGAAGCGCTGGAGGTCGGAGTCGGGGCAGGACAGCCGGCCAGGCCGGGAGGGGGAAGCAGACGCGCGGGCGGTGGGGAGAGCACCGGGTTGGGTCGCAGGAGGAAGGCGCCGCGGGCCGGGTTAGAGCGACGGCTCGGCCGCGGAGGGCCCGGGTGGGCGGGGGCCGGGCGCCGGGCGGGCGGCGGGCGCGGCGGAGGAAGCGGGACCCGGCGCCTTGCGCCGGGTCGCCCCCATTGTTCGTCCCTGGCGCTGCTGCTCGGCGAGCGAGTCGTGACCCAGGGAGGGGCTTTGCGGCCCGACCGAGTCCCTGCCCGTGCCGCCCCGACCTCCGGAGCTCTAGCCGAGTGGGCTCCGCACGGCAAGTTTTAAGATCTGACTCGGCTAGCGAGGGCTTCCCAGCTAAAAACCTCGTAGGAAGCAGCCTTTACAAAGTGCCGCGAAATTGAAGGAAGCTGGGCGAGCCTGCTGCTCGCGCGCTAAAAGAAAAGGGAAAGCAGCATATATATGTTTATAAAGTGATAACTAGATAAGAGACTAACGGGGGCAATTTTTATTCTTGATCTGGAAAGTTAGAGCTGATTATATGACTCTTGAAATCTCTCCAAACGTGTGGATTTGAAAATGAATGTCAAGATTTAAAAGAGTTCGGAAAAGCATGTTTCACTGTCCCAATTTGTTGTTTGTAGTCAGCTCTTCTTTGTACACAAGAAGTCCAGTTTCCAAAGGAAGGGCTGAGCTAGCCCTAACCAAAACAGGCTTGCTTTCTTGCATTTTCAGAGTAACAGTGAATTTCAAAAGGGAAAAACGTTTCATTTGCTTTTAAACCACGTTTTGGAAACAAATTTTTGCAGCCCATCTCCGAAACTGTGCCTGTTTTCCTTTGTGATGCATGTGGTGGAAAAATATTCCTGGCAAACGTCACAGTTTTAAAAAATGAAGATTTCCAACAAGTGCTTGCGAGTCTTGTAGACAAGACCAAAGTCATCGTGTGTAAAAGCTCGTGAAGAAGTAATTTCAATCCTGTGGTCCAAACCTTACTAGGGCAAGAGAGTAATTTCAACTTAGATTTATAATGGACTTTGTGGAAATTCCTTCTAAAATACTCGTTACTAGTCTGTGTATTATTATGCAGCACTGTTTCCCAAGGTGGATTTTTAAAAACCAATTAGAATTGATCTCTAATGGAATATTATATTTACACGTCGTCATGAAAACATCATTTGACGAGAGTTTTGAATTACAAGAAAGAAGTTAACAGATGATGTTCATAAATAGCATCTGTTTGAAAAGACCCCTTAAGAGTCAGTCAAAGGATAGTGATGGTGATTTTGCATTTGCAATAATATAGAAGTTGTTTGCATTTTAACACTTTCATTTTGCGGGTCTTCTTTCCAAACTTGCATTTCCTCATGGTAATCATTTAGTTATTTCAAGGTATAGGGAGAAATTCTTGTGTAAGAAATCATTTGAGGCATACCTATAGAAAAGTTGGAACAGACAAAATATTGGTGTTGAAAATTGAGAATTCTCAATCTATTCATTCGTTCCACACTCATCCTCCTACAGTTCCCACCCATCAATTTACATTTTTTATTTATAAGTCTTTGGACATTTAGAATAGTGTTACAAGTTCATCTGTTGTATATTTGCTAGTAGATGGTGCGTCTTTTTATATCTTTTACTGTTTCTGGTATTTTTGTTTCATTTAAACTAAAAAAAAAATCTGTTAGAAGTCAGGATATACTTGTGAGAAAAACAACAAATGGGCCGAAAAAAGGGCATGAATGGGGGTGGGGATGGCGAGGGACGTGTAGTATTCCTGGTTAGTCTTTGTGATACCTTTTAATTTTATGTCATATTTTCCACTTCTGCTTGTACCAGCCATCATTGCTTTTTAAATTGAGGTTAAGTGCTATCATATAAAAATTACCTACATTCTGGCTCTCAAGCGTTACAGTAAAGTAAGACTCAAAAAGTGATCCGAGGTTTGTGTGTTTTAATTCGCCAGGAATGTTAAGCTTCATAAGATTCACCCTATGGGGTCATGTTAGTCCTTGGCACTGTTACTGTACAATTCCAAGAGGTAAATATACACATTATAGATTTGAAAAATCTAAGATGTACTAGACACACAGTTTATTAATCGAAGGAATAAAAAAAATGAATTTGTCAACCTCATTCTTTCTAGGACACAATGCACTTAATTAACATATTCTTGGACTTGTTTCTGGAATTGGTAAGCAGTGGCCCCTTTGGGAGAGGAAAACATTTAAATCTTTAAAAGTGACCTTTTTCGGTCCTAATAGTATTTAGTAATTCAGGCTAATTTCTTCTTTTATTTTAGTCCAAGATATGTGTCATTTCTTTAAGGGTTTTCTTCCATTTCAAAAACTGATTTTCCTCTTTTCCATGTCCAGAATCTTTTCACTTAATCTTATTGTATCTTATAAATAGACACCTAAATACATCACCTTAATCACACTTTAATTATAAGAGAGATGCAAATTTTCAGTGTCAGTGAAAAATGAGAACAGGCCTTACACTACTATTCCCATACTATATTGATGATATCCAAAAAGGCAAAGTATAACGCCCTTAAGTACTATTGCATCATGGCACAAAATGAATAACTTCGAAACGTGAGGTTTATGTAACACATAGAAGATCTAAAGTCATCCTAGAAGTAGTATTTTTCTATTGGTAATTAAATGGTGTTTTACCAGAAAAATGTAAATACAGCCAATTAATATCAATTTTTATAGTAAAAGGAATAGCTCTAAAGCCAATCACAAGATTCACCAAACTAAACCCTTTCGAGTAAATATTAGACCTTGATTCTTAAAAAGATTTTTAATTTGGATTACACTCAATTTAAATTTCAGAATTACCTAACTAAACTTTCAAAAAAACCAAGTAGAGCTCACAATAATATTAATTATCATTGATTTTTAGTTAGAGCCTATTTTGTAATAAAATGATGACTTTTACATGAAAAGATGGTTAACATTTGAAGGGTATTTAAATATAGACAATTCTAAACTACCTGTTAAGTAAAGACTCTTCAGCTATATTAATTTTAGCAATTACAAATCTTTAAAGAAACTAATATATCTGAAAATTTCTGTTAATCATTGCTTAGAAATTTAGTTCAA